ATTTTATTTATAATATTAAATTTAATTCTTGCTTTTGGATATGAATGGATATGAAAAGTTTAATCAAGAAATAGCTTTTAATATAATAAGTTAATAAAAAAATGTCTTATTATCAACAAATAAACAAATAATTTCACACTTTTTATGAGTATTATTGCTATTAGAAATTTTTAATTCTAAGTTATCTAACTTATATTTATTTTTCCCTTCATTATTACTATTAATATTTAAACTTTCTTATTAATCTTGTTTCACACAGAGTTTTATTATTTTCAAAAATTAATATTATTAACAAAAATATTGGTTTTTTTTTCATGTTATATTAAAAAAAGAAATATATACTAGCCCTATAGATTGTCATGATTGCACTACCCTATGATTTAGAAAGAGAACGTTAACTTTAAAATATTCATACATATATTTGATCTAAAAAAAAATTAAAAAATTGTTTTTTTCAAAATATAAAAATTTTAATTTAAATAACTTTAAAACTAACTTTTCAAAATATCAAATTTTTTTAATTGAAAACATTAAAAAATTCAAACTTGCTGTTAACTTATTAGAATTTATTTAGTTATTTTTATAATTCGATTTTTTAATTGCAGCTTTGAGTCACTTTCAAAACCAACTGGAAATCTTATTCTTTCATGTTTTTAATTATATTTGATTAAATTGTTATAAAAAAAACCATATTTTAAATTAAAGGTTCATGCTATATAATGCTATTTTTATACAAAATAAAACTTAGACTCAATATTTCTGAACGCTTTCATACTAAGAAATTCTTATTTTCCAAATTGTTTTAATCTACACAAGTTAAATTTAATTTAAACTAAACAAACACTTAAATGAACATATTTAGTGACTATACAATTTAATTAGTTTAGTTCATTTTTTTTCTAAACAAAAATGTAAATATAAATAAATATTAAATTATAAAAAAAAATTAAGAATTATAAAAAAATAAAATGTATAGTTATTTATGGACATTTATATTGTTTACAGCAATTTAATGTTCCAGTCTTAAATTAAAAAACCAAATTTTTTTATGCGTTTAAAGACATACTTTTGGGTGCAGTACACATTTATTTTAAAAAAAATTTAAGTTTTAGCATGCACTTTTCTTGGTCAACAAAATAAAAAGGTTTGTCCTAATTTATTGAGATATTTTTACAATATGGGTTCAGTTGAAAGTAACGCTTGTGAAATCATTCCATTTAGCTCGCAATTAGCATGTATTAGTGATAACTTGAGCATTGCAAATTATTCCAGCAAAGTAAACGAACAATATGTTTTGAATTCCATCGCTCCAAAAAACCTTTCAAATCAGTTTGAGTACATATTTCCTTGTGGGAAAGATGATTTTAATAATGAGGGTAATATCAAATGTAATCCTAGCACAAAACAAATAGAAATTTCATGTGGCTCTAAGTTATGTAAGTTCGCTTTTGGCCATTTTAGTTTATAGCTCTAAACTAACCAATTTAGATACAGTTAATAGTAGTGAAATAGTACAGTCTGAAGAAGATCATCAGAATTCGTGCTCATTCACTTTTGATCTTTCTAATAACGAACTCTCACTTTATATGGTAAGTGAAGGATTAAAAGGCTGCGCATGATTAAAATATACTTTCTTTTAGTTGAATAAACCCAATAATCTTATTTTCAAAACAAAGGAATTTGGAGTTAAACCCACTACTTTTAATACTACTTTGGTGGGTGAGGAATTTGGATGGTCGCTTACAAGCAGAGAAGAATTTAGTAAGTAAATTATTTCGAAATTATTAATCATTTACTAATAAAATATTTAGTAGCGAAAAACAAAACAACTACTACTTCAACTACAACTAGGACTGCTTCGTTAATAGATGAAAGAATTTCTTTTGTAAATCACTATGAAGAGAACGATTCTGGTTCTAGTAACTATTCAACACCATCATTCGCAGATCAATATGACTCTAGATTTAATATTGATTACCCGAACTCAAACTCCTCCAATAGACCAGCTAATAAGATGATCTCGTTATTTTCACAAAACGGTACAATCTTCAATATGTCTGAAAGAAATTCTCCGAGCTTCAATTTTCATAATGAAAATTCTAATATAACCACTGAATCTAAAGGGTTAATCAACTTTAGCATTAAAAAAAGTGATTTAAAGAATGCTCCTCTGCTTGTTTCCAACTTGTTCGGTACTACAAACTTGAAAAAGCAAATGTCACTTTTGTTTAATAACGATGAGTTGAGTCTATTCGACAATGATTCTGAAAGATCTGATGTTGCTCAAATACCTAAAGAATGGTCAAATTCAACAAGCATTGACCTTTCACTATATTGGGACAAAAACTCCAGTTATATAGTTGATAATGCCCACTCAAAGATTATTCTTTTTGTTGGAAACAATAATGGTGAAAATAACAATTCAACATCAGCTGATGTAACTCAAATTCAAGATGAGATCGATAAAGTTGCAAAATTTCATGAAACGGAAAATATTTGTAACATTACTAAACAAATGAATGTCTGCAAATCAAATAAAATTTCAATTCAATATTCAGGTGGTCTTACTGAAGGAAATCATTTGAGATTTGGCTTTACTATTCCAAGATCTGATCTTTTACCCATTTCAATTAGTTTATTTGCTTCAGAAAATGAAAAGTCAAAGGTTGTTATTAACCCGAATGGATCTGGGATTCTGAAAGACACTGTGACTGAAAATAAAGTAAAATTTGATCTTGGTTTGATTAATGGTAGCTGGTTTGCAGGTGATATTTTTATCATAAATAAAAATCATACTCAAGAAGCTCTGAGCAATTCGCTCTCTTGTATTTCCTTCACGAAAACATGCTTAGAGAAGAACGAAAGTAATTGTCTTAATTCCCTTCATAATCCTGAAACTCAAATGAATCTTGGATTGGAGAAAAACTTAACAAACGCCCAACTTTCTAGCTCTGAATACTACCTCTTTCTTACATGGAATAACTGTATACTTGGATATGTTCCGATCGATAAAAACAAAATCGATGGTGTTTCTTTGAGTAATGGGCAAAACTCAATTCCTACCATTGGATACTGGAGTATTATTGATGGATTTTCTTCCTCTTTAAATATTCATGAGCATGTGGACGAAAACAGTCACTTGAATAATACACAGAACCAAAATATCCATGAAAAAACGATTAAACCATTCAATTCAACAAATTCAGCATTTACTGGGAACAATCATTCAGTTCGAAGTTTAAACATGGTTTTTTTTGACGGCGAATATCAAGGATTAGAGGATAACCAACCAACTTCTGCAGATACCGAATCAAGTTCGGATAGTAGNNNNACTTCTACAGAAACTGGATCATACTCAGATAATACCCAATCTACTTCTACAGATGCCGAATCAAGTTCGGATAGTAGCCAACCAACTTCTACAGAGACTGGATCATACTCAGATAATACCCAATCTACTTCTCCAGAAACTGAATCCTACACAGATAGTAACCAACCAACCTCTACAGGAACTGGATCATACTCAGATAATAACCAATCTACTTCTACAGAAACTGGGTCATACTCAGACAATAGCCAACCAACTTCTACAGATGCCGAATCAAGTTCAGATAATAACCAATCTACTTCCCCAGAAACTGAATCTTACACAGATAGTAACCAAACAACTTCTACAGAAACTGGATC